TTTAATCCCAGCATTTGGGAGGGAGAGGTAGGGAGATTTCAAAGAGTTAGAGGCCAGCCTGGTCTACATAGTAAGTTCCAGGCCAGCCAAGACTATAGAGTGATACCCTGTCTCAATCCTCCCCACCACCACCAAAAAGGGCAAGTAAGCACAAAAGTCCAGACATGTCACAAAGGAAGAAATTCCCATGATGGACACATGAACTTATGCTTAACCTCAATCAGTGATCAGATCGATTCCATCTAAAACAAATATCTAACAATATCAAATCAAATAATAAATCTGCCACCAAGAGAGGACAAGAGTATAAACAAGTATGATTAGTTTGTAGAGAAATGGGGCAATGCCCAGAAAAACTAAAAATGTATGTAAACTGACTGATCTCACACCAGGAATTGTGTGTATCATAGCAGAAGAAAATTAATGAAGTTATTCGTGAGAATTCTAACAGACAAACCTGGGGGAAAGTCGATGCTTGTCAACAAGCGTTTATCCATTACAGATAGAAGTACTGTATATAGTAAAACGCTGCATGATGGCTAAAAGCAGTGAGTCGGCATTACACACAGATTAAAACATCAGCCTTGAGGCTGCAGATATGCTCAACGTAAGAGCACTTCTTGCTTTTCCAGAAAAGCCACATTCAGCTCCCAGCACCCACATGGGGCAGATCACAACCTCCTGAAATTCCAGTTCAGGGGTTTTCTGGCCTCCTTGTGCATCCATACACACATACATATACATTCACACAAACACATACATATGTACATAAACAAATGAACAGACAAAACAATTAAAACCCCCAAGTTTTATAAATTTTGAGTGAAAAATAAATTGAAAAACAATATATGTAGGGCTGGAGATATAAGATCCAACATCGTTACACAGACATACATGCAGGCAAAACACCAATGCACATTTAAAATTATATATATATATGCAATCTCTTACCAGTTATACAACTTTTAAAATACACTTTATCGCCGGACGGTGGTGGCGCATGCCTTTAATCCCAGCACTCGGGAGGCAGAGCCAGGCGGAACTCTGTGAGTTCGAGGCCAGCCTGGTCTCCAAAGCGAGTTCCAGGAAAGGCGCAAAGCTACACAGAGAAACCCTGTCTCGAAAAACCAAAAAAAAAAAAAAATACACTTTATCTAAACTTTTTACTTATTAATATATGAATGCAAAAGTGCAAAAGTACAAAAGAATGGGTTAAATGATTACACACTATATCCTGTAGCTAGAGTTTTCCTGCCTGACCCACAGTCAGGACAAATGTCTCTCACCTGTCAGTCCCACAGCTGCTCAGACCCAACCAAGTAAACACAGAGACTTATATTGCTTACAAACTGTATGGCCGTGGCAGGCTTCTTGCTAACTGTTCTTATAGCTTAAATTAATCCATTTCCATTAATCTATACCTTGCCACATGGCTCATGGCTTACCAGCATCTTCACATGCTGTTTGTCATCGTGGTGGCTGGCAGTGCCTCTCTGACTCAGCCTTCCACTTCCCAGCTTTATTCTCCTCCTTGTCCCGCCTACACTTCCTGCCTAGCCAACGGCCAATCAGTGTTTTATTTATTGACCAATCAGAGCAACACATTTGCCATACAGAACATCCCACAGCACTTCCTTTTTTTTTTTTTTTTTTTTGCAAAGAAGAAAGCCAAGAGGTCAGAGCTAAGAGCTAAAACCTTACCCTTCCTCCTGCGGTGGTCCTACCTCTCCGAACCAGAGCTACTCCTGTGTTAAAGTCTTTATATAGAGTTCCTGTCCTGCCTTCTCATTGGTTGTAAACCCAACCACATGACCGCCTCCTCACGGCCTGTCTGTATAGGCCTCCAGGTTTTCCATGATTGATATTAAGATTAAAGGCATGTGTATCCAATAATGGCTGTATCCCTGAACACACAGAGACTTACCCAGCTCTGCCTACCAAGTGCTGGAATTACAAATGTACGCCACCACTGCCCTGCTTTCCTATGGCTTGCTAATAGCTCTGACCCCCGGGCAACTTTATTTATTAACATACAAATAACATTTTAATACAAATAAAATATCACCAATATCCCTAAGAAGTTTCTAAGAAATTCAGGTCAGGGATGGGAAAGATGGCTCAGCAGTTAAGAGCACTTGCTGTTCCTGCAAAGTAACCAAGTTCAGCTCCCACTACTCAATGAGGCTAACAGCTGCCTGTAATTGCAGTTCCAGAGGATCCAACACCTTTTTCTACCCTCCTTGGGCACTGCACACACAAATGCACAGACATACATACAGGCAAAACACCCATTCACATAAAATGTGTGTGTGTGTGTGTGTGTGTGTGTGTGTGTGTGTGTGTGTGTGTGTGTGTGTTTTAATTCAGGGTGTTGGAGAGATGTCTCAGTGGTTAAGCACACTTATTGCTCTTGCAAAGGACCCAGTTTTGATTTCCAGCACACACATGATGGTTCACAATGATCCACAACTTCAGTTCCATGGGATTCAAAGCACCCAGCACTCACATGGTTCACATACATACACACAGGCAAAATAATAATACACATAAAAATATAATAAATTAGTTAAACAAAACCTGAAACCTTAAAAAAAATTCAGTCCAGAAAGATGGCTCAGCAATTAAGAGCACCTGTTGCTCTTCCAGAGGACCCAGGTTTGATTCTAAGCACCCATACAACAGTTCACCATCGTCTGTAACTCTAGTTCCTAAGAATTGGATGCTTTCTGGCCTCTGCAGGAACTGCACACATACAGGTACACATGCAGGTTAAAAGCCTCCTATACATAAAAATAAATAAATCTTTAAGAAAAGTCCAGGTCACAAAATATAGTAAGTTGAGTACAGAAAGAACAGCCATCTCATTTTATTTCTTGTATTTAAAAGGTATTTGAAGGATGTATGTGAAAATACTAATAGTCAATCCCAGTGGCACATGGCACTTTTAAAAATATTTCTGTATTTTTTAGGCTTGTTTGTGCATGTGTGTGCCACCATCCCCGCAGAGGTCAGAGGACAACTTGTAGGAATAGGTTCTCTCCTTCTCCTATGTGAGTTCCAGGGACCCAAGACAGATGCTCGGCTTGGCAGTGCCCATCTTTTACCTGCTGGAACATCTTGCCATCCTCATTTCTGTATTTTTATTTTTCAAGTATAAATTTAAAAAAACTAGATTATAATGTTTAATTTTAAACAAATTTCAGAAATTGACTTCAAAAAAGTGCAAAACACTTCAAGCATGTAACCTAGAAAAAAATGTCCCAAAAGCCAGCAATACATAAAAGGCATTAAGGGGGCCGGGCGGTGGTGGCGCACGCCTTTAATCCCAGCACTCGGGAGGCAGAGCCAGGCAGATCTCTGTGAGTTCGAGGCCAGCCCGGGCTACCAAGTGAGTCCCAGGAAAGGCGCAAAGCTACACAGAGAAACCCTGTCTCGAAAAACCAAAAAAAAAAAAAAAAAAAAAAAAAAAAAAAAAGGCATTAAGGGAAGCCAGTTTGGGGTGAGTTCCAGCAAATGTTTCAGAAAACATCCAATCTGTGCCTATGGGGACTGCATAAACCAGAAGAAAGCAGAGGTAGGTTACTGGCATTTCAGCCCTGACTGTTTCAAAGGAAAATTACACCACCTTGCTGGAAAAAAACTTATGAGTATGTCTTAGTTATGGTTTCTCTAGCTGTGAAGAGACACCATAACAAAAAAAAACAAGCTGGGGAGGCATGGGTTTATTTGGTTTACACTTCCATATTGATGTTCATTATTGAAGGAAGCCAGGACAGGAACTCAAACAGGGCAGGATCCAGGAGGCAGGCACTGATGCAGAGGCCGTGGAGGGGTGCTGCTTACTGGCTTGCTTCCCATGGCTTGCTCAGCCGGTCGAACCCAGGACCATCATCCCAGGGATGGTACCACCCACCATGGGCTGGCTCTCCCCCATTGATTACTAATTGAGAAAATGCTTACAGCTGGGACTCACCGGAGGCCTTTCCTCAAGTGAGGCTCCTTCCTTTCTGATGACTCTAGCTTTTGTCAAGTTGACACAAAACCAGCCAATGCAAGTGACAAGTGACTCAAAATTAGGATGGCAATTTTTGTAATAAAATACATTAAAATATTAATGAACACAATTTTTAAATATTTAATTTTTATTCATGTGTACTCATGTGTATCTGTGTGTTTATGCACATGTATGGGGGTGCTGGCAGAGGACAGAAGATGTTGGATCTCCTGAGCCACCTGATGTGGGTACTGGGAACCAAACTCTGGTCTCCTGGAATAGCACCTAACACTCTGAATTGCAGAACCGCCTCTCCGGGGCCCCACTTTTTTTTTTTTTTTTTGAAGATTTATTATTATTTCATGAATGTTTGCCTGCATGAATGTGTAGACACAACAGTTCCGTGCCATTGAGGTGGGAAGCACACCCATCCTCTGGAGCTGGAGTTACAGGCGGCTGTGAACCACCAGACAAGGGTGCAGGAAACCAAACTTGGGTCGTCCACAAGTGCAGTACAAGGTCTCAACCACTCATCACTTCTCCAGCTCTCCAAACTATAGTCTTTTTTTTGTTTTTTTAAGACAGGCTTTCAAAATATCTCAATGAACGAAAATGACCAAAACAAACTTTATACATCTATGAAATAATCAAATAAGAAATCAGTTTTCAAAATCATAATCTAAGCTGGGCATGGTGGCACAAACTTTTAGTCCCAGCACTCGGGAGACAGAGGCAGGCGGATCACTGTGAGTTCCAGGTCAGCCTGGTCTACATAATGAGTTCCAAGACAGTCGGGGCTCCATAGTGAGGACTGAATAACCAAATAAAGCATATAAAAGTAGTCATAATCTTAGAGATTAAAATTTACAGTTCATCTGTTTAAAAACAAACAGTATAACTTAGTGATCACTATTTTTGCAAGTCCTTACAAGTTAAAAAAATGGAAGAAAATTTCCAAATGCCATTAGAATAAAGCAGTAAAAAAAATAGTAAAAAAAATAAAATAAAATAACAGGATGCTCAAGATTAGAGTAGTTTAAAAAGTAAACACAAAATGTTCAGAAGACGAACACTGATATTAGTGGTTGCAGAATATATAACTATTTAAAAGTTCCTAGACAGTCCGGCAGGCTGTCAGACCTCACATAAAACCCAAACATTTCGCCCCACACTCCACCCCAGTGTCAGGCCAGAGCGCATGCGCAGCCTGACGCGTGCGCACTCTTAACGCAGGCCCGTAAGACGCGGAAGAGCAAGATGGCGGCGCCGAGCCTCCCCACGCCGTTGTACGGGCACGTGGGTCGCGGAGCCTTCAGCGACGTGTACGAGCCCTCGGAGGACACGTTCCTGCTCCTGGACGCGCTGGAGGCGGCGGCGGCCGAGCTAGCAGGGTGCGAGGAGGGTGCGCGCCACAGCGGGAGAGAGCGGGGTGCCCTCAGAGGCGGCAGCCGGAAGCCTTGCCTCCTCCGGAAGTGGTGGGTCGGCCCACTTTCCTGGTGATTGACAGCAGAGCGGGGTGAAAGAGCAGTTTCCCGCGTGCTGGGATTTTGTGCTCTGCTCAGGTGTTCCTCGGGGGTCAATGGTCAGTCTCCCTGCCCTGCCTTTCCGCTGTTAATCTGAAGAACGTAAGGGCCCCTGAGAGCAGCCGTAGTGTAACGACCAGATACAAGATGTTCCGGAAATATTGCTGCTTTCCAATATTACGTTTTTTAGTGACTACGTAAAACTCGCGTAGAGTTATTTGACCTACTTAATGCATAAATCGCATCCTCTGGCAACGGAAGGACACAAATGATGAAGTAGTGACATGTTAAACCCATTCACCCTTCTCAAGGGACAGTCATTAGCCACCCATTCTGTTACTACTGAGCACTTGGAATATTACTGCAACCGAGAAACCGAATTTACAATTGAACTGTTAGAAATGTAGTTGGAACCATGATCAAAGATTTAAATTGATATTACATGCATCCGCTTGTAGGAACTTCACTAGCCTGATTTGTTGAAGTATTGGCCATAACTTTAATGACAAAAGTAACAAATGCCTACATGTTAATTTGTCAGTGAAAAGAATTTGAGTTGAGAGCGGGTAAGACGGTAAATGCGCTTGCTGCCAAGCCTCTGGACCCATAGGACCCACAAGACATAAGGAGAGAAATGACTCATGCAGGTTGTTCTTGGGCATTCAGTTTCAGTGCTGAACGCCATGTGTGCTCCCACCCACCCACCCATCCACCCACCCACACACACACAAAATAAACGTAATAAAACATTTTGCTACAAGAAGTCGGGTCATTAACTTTAATGGTCAAGATTTGAACTGGGTTTCTCCAGAAACAAATAGCCAACATGTTTACTCCTCTTAAGCTTCGTCATATTTTTTCCGTCTATAAAATGCTCTTTTAAAAAGTGTTTCATCATAGACGGTGGAGCATTTCAGCTTACTGGAATATCTTACGGAACACAGGACTGTAACTTGTGTGCTCAGAATAGCCCAGAAAGATGTACAACTACAAATTGGATTGCAGACTATGCTTTAAATGGAGCTGACCTTGTTACAAAGGCTTGGAATGCTAATTATTTATGGAACTGTAATGGTTCTTTCTAAGAAGAAGCCACCTGGTAAGATTCACAAACTTTAGAATGACCGACCCACTAATGGCTTCTCAGCTATGTGGCTGGTTCTAAAGCTAAGAACTGTGTAACTGCTTCTTGAGTATTGTTTGAAAAGTTAAGTGCCAGGAATTCCCATAAATGTCATCAGTCATGGAAATTAAGTAGTGCTTTTGATGCACGTACAGTGATCGGGGAAATACATTTTTTGGAAAATAATGTAAAGATTTTTTTAAGTTTAGAAAGCTAAGATTATTGACATTTTAAGACCAAACACTGAGGCACTTCACAATTTAGTAGAGAGTGTCTGTTCCACATCTGTCTAGGTGGGTGGAGGACTTTTGCTCCTAGGACATGCTGCTGGGTGTATTTAAGTACTTCAAGGTGACTGACAATCTATTACACACATAAACTATTAGGTTTAGCTATACAACAATAAGCACCAAATGGTTGCCAGAAATTGTAAATTTCCCTTATATCCCCATGTATTTGCAAGTGAATGGTGATGCTGGAGAAATATATAGCATGAGAGCTATCTCCCATGAAGAATATCTTCATAAGAATGAACTAAATATTTTGGTTTTTGTTATTAGAGTGGAAATATGCCTCGAAGTAGGAGCAGGGTCTGGTGTGGTGTCTGCATTCCTGGCCTCCATGATAGGTCCTCAGGCCTTGTACATGTGAGTATGCGATGTCCATCCACATCTGGTTTACCATGACTGTGGCAGCTTGGTGAATATTTTAAGGAGAAACTGTGTCTCTGATAGTGTTTGAGTAAGGACGTGAGTCACTAACTATGCTCACCCCCAGTTATGATTTCATGTTCACGCCTTCATGCCGTGTGATTTTTAGAAGCAACATAATTTTAAGTTATCTCTACTTTGAATTGTTTTCAGGTAAATAGTTTGACTGTTAGAAAATAGCTGGAAAGTTAAATTTCTTTGCTGAGAACTTGAGAATACAAAAGCCAAGAAATGGCCATCAGAAAATTTTGCCATACACAGAACAAATGTTTTTCTTTCCGTTTGTAATTTCCTATGTATTTTGTGTAGCAGTTTCCTATTCTATTTCTCTTGGCTTCCATTTTGCTGGGTGCTGAAGCCATACTTTAATAAATTCCTTCAGGTGAGTGTGAACAGATTTTTTAGCAGTGTTTGTCATCAGTATAACAAGACTTTGTTCTCTTTTGCTTTGCCATTATGAAAAATCCTGGTTGTTTTTTTTTGATACCACGTTGAATTAACAAAACATTCCTAAAATATCTAACCGATTTGCTTCTGTACATTACCCTGTTTATAGATGCACTGATATCAACCCCCAGGCAGCTGCATGCACCCTGGAGACAGCACGCTGTAACAGAGTTCACATTCAGCCAGTAATTACAGATTTGGTGAGCTGTAATTCTTGTTCAGTAGTAATCAGTTTCCTCTCAATTAATTGAAAATCAGTGTTTTAGTGCAAGTAAACTTTAGTAATTAACTTTTTTTGTTTTTATGAGACAAAGTCTCATATAGCCCAGGGTAGCCTCAAACTTACTATATAGCCAAAGATGACCTTGTACTCTTTTTTGCTTGTTTTTATTTTTAATTAAAATTTTTATTTTATTTTTGAGATTATAATTACATCGTTTCCCCCTTCCCTTTCCTTCCTCCAAACCCTCCCATATATCCCTCTTTGCTCTCTTTCAAATTCATGACCTTTTTTTTTTCATTAATTGTTGTTACATGCATACACACACACATCTATATACACACACAGGTGCATATACATATATGTGTATGTGTGTGTGTGTGTGTGTGTGTGTGTGTGTGTGTGTGCATATATTCCTAAATCCTGCTCAGTCTGTGTAATGTTAACTTGTGTTTATGATTTTAAACCTAACCATTTGGTATTGGGTAAATGCTGGAGTTGTAGATATGCATCCAGCAAGTAATTAACTTCTGACCGTAAACATGACTAAATGTGACACTCTATCCATTTCATGCTGGCTTAAATTTTAAAAGCTTTAGACACAGCTAACACAGGAATTCAGATGATATAGCACATTTTTTTTCTTAGCTCTGTGTTTCTCTCTGTTGTCTCTTAGGCAATCTCACACCCTCATGGTAACCAGATGTTTGCATTTCTGTGTCTTACTTATTAACAGCTCCCCATGAAAAGAAGTCTCTCAATAGTATACTTGGAATGAGAGTTGTTTGGGTCAGCTTGGGTTCTGTGTCTAAGGACTGGCATTTGAAGAGTGGCTTTGACCTGGGTCACAGTCCCCTAACTCCACTCCACATAGATCCTACCCAGACTTGAGTTGAGAATGAGAGGAGATATAATATCCCTGTCTTAGTTATTTTTACTTCTGTATTGTTGTGAAGAAGTGAGGGGTGGGGGGGCAAGGCAGAGAAGAGAGGAGGGAAGAGGAGAGAAACAGAGAGACAGACAGAGAGAGAAAGAGAGACTGGGACTGGCTTGGCCTTTAGAAACCTCTAAGTTTCAAAGACCACCTCTAGTGACACACCTCCTCCAAAAAGGCCATATGAGCCTATGATGCCAGTCTTACTCAAACCACCACGGTCCCATCAAAAGCATAGGAGACGTAAGCAGAAATAAGGGAACATGGTCCTGCGGACAAGTAAAAATCAAGACAGCTTCCAAACCTGTTCTCACTGTTGTCTCAGTCTGTCTTTGAACTTTGTGTGTAGTTGTAGACAACCTTTAATTCTAGTTTCTCCTGATTCTGCCTCCCCAGTAGACCACTATACCCCCCTGCTCCAATTTTTTTTTATCTTTTTAAACATTTTAGTGTATGTGTGTGTGTGTGTGTGTGTGTGTGTGTGTGTGTGTGTTTTGCCTGCATGTATGTCTCTGACACCACATTCCTCCAGTGTTCACAAAGGTCAGGAGAGTGCTTTGGATCCCCTGGGACTAGAGTTATAGATGTTTGTGAGTCACCGTGTCAGTACTGGAAATTGAACCTTGGTCCTCTGCAAGAGCAGCCAGTGCTCTTAACTTCTGAGCCATTGCTCCAGCCCTCCATTGTTTTATGTTAAGAAGTTCAGGTTATACCTTTTAAGTTTCAGTTATTAAAATTTTTTAAGGGTATTAGTAGGATTGGGTAATTTCAGATTTGCAGAATATTTTTAGTGACCACAGGGAAATGCTGTTCATAAGCAAAACTCATAGTAGAATGCAGCAGGTGGACGCAAGAAACAAAATGCCTTCTGTGCTGCTTTTCCGAGGTTGGAGAGAAATCAAAGTCTCAAGAAGTCCAGGGTGGCTTTGATCTGTCTTCTGTTTCAGGATGACTTTGAACTACTGATCCTTCTACCTCCATCTCCCAAGTTCTGGCTTTACTAATGTGTGCCATCACACTCAGCTTTGTGTGTTTCTTGGCCAGTGTTGTTCCTACCCTGGTGAGGACAGGCAGCTTTCCTACTGCCGTTTCACACGTACAAAAGATGTTGCATCTTAGAATGAACCTCAAGAGACAAGGAATTCTTTTCGTATCAGCAAAAACTAGTGTCCAGAAAGGTGCTCAGGTTGCTCACATTAAACCAGCATGGTGATGTAGAACTTTGTTTCCTTAGTGTGTCTGGTTTTTGATAGAACAGTAAAACTTCAGACGGAGCAAACCCAGACTATTTTTGAAACAGATACGGAAACTGAAGTGTCTTTGAAAGCTTTGATGATAATAAAAATTTCTCTAGGGGTATAGCCTGGCTTTCCTGTCCGGCTCCACACAGCAACCCAGGGGCATGACTGGAGGTTCTCCACGCTGGAGTTAATTCCTTAGTAGTTAAAATTGATCCTGAACTAAACTTTGACTTGGCAAAGCAAGAAACAAGAGGCAGGCTTCAACAGAACGGTTACAGTCAACTTATCAACTCTAACATTCAAAATATAGATGTGGTTACAGCTGTCATATAAAACAAACCCATTCTTTAGCGGAGATTACATGTTTAAAAAGTAGCAACCAACTGGGCACGGTGGCTCACTCCTGTGATCTCCAGTACTCAAGAGTGGAAGACCGATTTCAAGTTGAAGGCTACCCTGGGCTACATAGTGTGACTGACCCCTTTCTCAAAATCAAAAAGGTAGAATTGTTCATTTTTAGTTTTAGAATACGGTCTTTAAAAATGCATATTATGTATTTCTTCCCACTGTTACCACATCCCAAACACGCTTGACCTCTTACGGTGAACCCCTCCGTATCAGTTATTCTGAGCTGTATGGTACCGAGGCCTCCTCAGTTGTCTGCCGTGTGAAGTGGCTGATCGTCCTCCTCTGTCTTCGCTGGCATCGTACTGTCCTGTGTCACTGTCTTCTGTTGGCAGAACATCCATTCTCCTTTTTCACGTGCTTTCTGCAAGAAAACCAGACAGTTTTGACTCGTGTTTAACCTAAGGGCCCTCCATAAGTGTCGCTATAGGAAATAACATCTGTGTGTTTTGCTGTGTGCATTTAACCCTTGCCAGGGCCTCTTTCACTTATTTTTCAACTCTTGGAGATATTAAGGCTCACAACTGACTAGGCCTGGCTAGAGATGCCTGTACCAGACATTCAGTTTTATTTAAATATATTTTGATTTCAAGAATTTCTGTGCCTGAATCTAATGCTGTTTCAGCCAATAATTTCGGCTCCACAGTTAGTGACCTGTTTGTCCGGTCGCTGCCCAGCAGGAGCCTCCTGCCCCATCACCAAATGTTATTTTAACTAAATCTCTGTCGTTCTGTTTATCAATAAGACTCAGGAGTCAGAGGCTGGGGTGAAAACCTGCCAGCTCTGAGAGGTTGGTGAGCAACTAGCTGACCTTCCCTCCTCACAGGTGTCTCCGAAAGGGAGCATCCTTCTACTCTGCCAAACCAAAAAAAAAAAGTCCCTCCCAACTACTTCCTGTGCACCTCTCTGTCTTCCGGATGCCCTCTGACTCTCTGTGATTACTTTCTGTCAACTAGTTGCTAGCTCCGCCTCCTGACCCAAGTTTGATTTTTATTTAATTAACACAAATGCAAACTCAGGGTTCACAGTGTGGTCATATATCCCACAACAATTTGTTTTAAGATTTTGTCCTTTTCCTTTATGTAATATCCAGCCTGCAGTTGTTAATGGATAGATGAATAGTTCTTCAGGAACCACTGTGAGTTACAAAGCAAAATCTTCTCTAGTTTCCTTATCCAGCATTTCTGGAAAATTATATTTCAGAGTTATTTTAAGAAACTTAATTTCATTATGGAATTGAAAACAAAACATTGTTCACACAAACAGAGTTATTCCCTCATTCTTGCACTGATGGAGGAGCAGATGAATCATCTTTCAGTTTGCAAGCAAAGTTGTACCCAAATTATTTCAAAGAATAGATTGTTTCCCCCATTAAAGAAGCTGAAAAAGAATTACTTCCGTGAGCATATCCTCAAAAATAGGTCATAGGAGTTCTCTTTGAATTACAAGTTACCAGGCTTATTGGGATAATTAAAATGGGATTATAGAATCTGGATCCGGAAATTCTCAGATATTACTTCATAATGTATGTTCAATCTTCATAACCCAGTCCAGTATATGTCCAGTGCTTAGACGGTGTGACTGGAAATGGGGTAGCTTTGAATCACACACACGCGCGCACACACACACACACACACACACACACACACACACACACACACACACACATAGTGTAAGTTAGAGCGAGCTGTCAGGCTCGTCACAGACCCACAGGGCGTGCTTCATAGAATCAGAGCTTGCCTCATCCTCATGTCCTCATGTCTTGTAAAAGTGAACCCAGAGTGTGAACGTATCAATATGCTGTTGAAGAATATGCTGTTGAAGAGATGCATATTCAGTAGCTGTTCACTCTCACTGCCTTACTCGTTTTTAGTTCATATAAACTGCATCTGCATGAAAAAAATTAAAATATCTGTCTATAAGTACTCCCTCCCCTCTGGAAAACATGAGAAAATATTTTTAAAACTGATTTATTTAAGTCAGAATCCAGCTTAAACTGTATTGTTGCCGCCTTCAGGTCCAAGGCTTGCTGCCCCGATTGAAGGGAAAAGTTGACCTGCTGGTGTTTAACCCCCCCCTATGTTGTGACTCCGCCTGAAGAGGTAAGGCCCCCAGCAGAATGCAGTCATGGTTTCCGCTGTTCTGTGCGTGAGACAAGATGAACTTGGTGTGACTTCAGTCACTGCTGCCACCAACACTCCTCTGACTGCAGAGAGGTGGTCAGTACCAGGTACTGTGAGTGACCCAGAAGGAAATGAATACAGACGGAAGTACAAAGCATGACCCATCTAGTCAGAATTCTCACCCAGATCGGCCATGCTGTTTAAACTGACCCTTTACCATAAATAAATTTATAAAGCAAATTTTTAAAATACTTCTAATCATCTATAAATTCACCAATAATGTCCTTCTCAAAGTCTTGGGCTTCATCCCTTCACATTATCAGAAAGTAAAAGTGTGGGACCAGTCCTGATCTTTCATAGGGAAAGGAAAGACATACAGACATCATGTATTTAAGAATCTCCATGGCGAGGAGGTGAGCCGTATGTATCGGCATTCTCCCAGAAGGTGCAGGCACATAGTTCAACAGTAGATGAACGAGCACCTGCTTCTCTTTCATTGTGCCTGTTGTATTCTTTGGTGATTATTCTCTGGCACAGCTGGTAAACATGCTCACTTCTACTCCAGCTGCTCTGGCTGTGCTCACATGAACTGAGGAGCAGGAAGGAAGTCACAGTCACAGCGGGAACAGCACGACGCTGTCTTATAGTCTGTCTCCTGCCCTGTCATGAAGTACCACAGGTTGTGTGATTAATGAATGTATTTCTCACAGTCTGGAGGCTGAGGAGACCTGTCCCAGGGTGTGTGGAGGCTGAGGAGACCTGTCCCAGGGTGTGTGGAGGCTGAGGAGACCAGTCTCAGGGTGTGTGGCTCTAGCCAAGGCCTTCCTGCTGCCTTATGACAGAGACATCACATGCTGAGAATGAAGGAACATTCCTAAACACGTGGCTCCCCTCTCCTTTCTAATATGGCTCCTAATCCCTCATGACCCTCATAATCTCCTGCTCCTAGTCGGCCCAGCTCCAAATGCGGTCGGCATATCAATAGAGGATTCAGTTTCTGACATGAGCTTAATGCTCAAGAAAGGTCTATGGAAACGAACCTTGTGGTAAAAATGGTTCGATCAGAGGTAGCTTAGTGGGTAAAGATGCTTGCCCCTGAACCCAACGAATCTCCAGGACCCACATGGTAAAGAAACTCCCAAAAGATGGACCTCTGCCCACATGTACACACAATAAATCAGTAAATGAATTTTTTATAATGTTTCAGCCCTTAAGCTCTAATTTTAAAAACCACTCAGTAGCTGCATAGGGTGGTGCATGCCTGAGAAGGCAAAGGCAGATCGATCTACACAGTGAGACCCTGTCTCCAAACAAACACAAATCATTCAATACTAGCATGAAAACTAAAATGGACAAAAGTTTATTACACTCTGTTTATGACGACGTGAGCCTGTGTGCGCAGCAAAGGTGGTTAATTCATGGTCATGGTCTCAGTGAACACTGAGAAACCCAGTCAGTGAAGAAACAGTTCAGAGAACATGGTGGCCTGCCTGGGGTTCAGTGTACTTCCAGTTACAGCAGTAAGCTGAGTAAGTCTCCTGGCCCTTCCATCTGCCGAGACATCACGGAGGACCATGTCCAGGCAATGCCCTGGGCTCTTCTGCAACCCCAGCACATCTGGTGCCTTCATTCCCAGAGCTGAACGATTAGATAGGGTCAGGACAGCACAGGCCCAGCTAGGTGACTCAGCGGGTAAAGGGTGCTTGCCACCAAGACTAATGACCAGAACTCCCATGGTGGGAAAAAACTGACTCCCAAAAGTTCTCTTATTTCCATGAGCGCACACAAGCACACGCTGATTTTTTTTTTTTTTAAACCCAGCAAAATAAAAAAGCAGTGGTCTGGACACTAAATGAAACAGTGATTTCAGCCCATAAAGTATAAAGACAAAGTAAATGAAATCACAAAGGTTAAAAATAAATGATTTCGAGGTGGTATCCGGAAGACATACAAGTAAGAGTTGGTGTTTGAAAAATCTGTGGCTGTACTCACTATCACATTCAGAAACGTGAAATAAAGTGTCGTGGGTTACACCGTGGTCTCTAAGGAACCGAGAGTGGGCCCGCTGGATGGCCGAGGAGCGAGCAAGCAGAGGTAACACATGCCTGCTGCCTGCTGAAGTAAAACCCTCTCCTTTTTGGCCTCAGGATTGGGCTGGTGCCAGAAATTCCTCAAGAGTCATCTCGGCTGTAAGCAGATAAATGGGGCTTAATAACCTGGAATCTTAAAACAGGAAGCCCTACTACATTCTGGAGCAGTGACTAAAGAAAGGGGCCAGATGGGGACTGGCCCAAACCGTCAGACCTATTGAACAGCCAGACAAGTTCCTACAAAACAATGGAGTAAACAGATGAGAGTTCTGAACAGGAGGAGCTTGCCCAGAAGAAAAGCAGAGGCAGCAGGAAAGGGAGGAAATGAGAGATCCTTGAGATGTTGTCACGGGGCTGTGGAGATGGGCTAGTGGATGAGATGCTTCTGAAAGAGCGAGGCTCCGAATTGGTGTGCTCTGAACTATATGGGAGTGCACGTCCGTAACCCAGCAGACCTGTGGCATGATGGGAAGCAGAAAGAGGAGTCCCTAGAAGCCCACAAGGTGTTGGCCTGGTCTGTGCAATAGTATGCAGGAGAGGACCCTGTCTCTGACAAGGTGGAAGGCAAGAATTGTCTGACCTTCACATGCCCACCCACACACATACATACATGCTACACATGACATCATCACATGCACTGAAATAAAGATGCAGGAAAGAATGTGGAGCAATCCTGCATTCTGAAACATAGTTAAAAACAAAATTGTTGAAGATAGGAGTGGGGGGAGGGGCAGACAAACAAACTTGGAAAACCTGCCCTTAGCAGCAGCAGTTCATGTACTTTTTTGTTTTGTAAAATTTATGTGTGTGATTATAAAGGAGTTATTTTAAATTGGGAAACATATACCATATTAGGTGACTAAGAACAGAAAACATGATTGTTTATAAAAACTAAAATCAAATTTAGGTAAAGGCCACAGCAAGAAAGAAGAAAACAGTTGTCAACATTGGACTTAATTTTCATTGATTTCTTCCAAATATTCCTGTGGTCCTGACTGAACCCAGGGCCCCATGGACAAAATCCCACACCCCTTGGGGTTTTGAGGCAGGGTCTCACCATGTAGCTCAGGCTGGCATTGAAATTCAGTCTTCTCACTCCAGTGCTCAGCATGGAGATTGCAGGTGTGCCTAGCACACTTAGTGTGCTGTTGTATTTGATGGGTGATTACATGCTCTCTTGTAGCATAAGGACTTTAGGAGTTTAACAGTGACATTCAGGAGGCAAGGTGCATTCATTGGAAATACATACTTGTTTTGTGATGTTTTGTCAAAAGGATCGTAATCTCAATGAAACTTGAATCAAGTCTCTCTGATTGCTGACAGGTAGGAAGTCACGGAATAGAAGCAGCTTGGGCTGGTGGCCAGAAGAAACGGGCCGGGAAGTCATGGACAGATTCTTCCCGATGGCTTCAGAACTCCTCTCCCCAAGAGGGCTGTTCTACTTAGTTACCATAAAAGAAAACAATCCAGGTAATTAAAAAAAAAAAAAACAAAACAAAACAGCTTCTTGTTAACTGTTTACTTTGCTGACAACAAAAGTGTTGAAAACTGTAACTTATAAAGTAGCCTGGACTGTTGAGCAATTTAATCACTGACAGCATCTAACACAGCCAGAAGTTCATGTTGAAAGAGGAGACTTGAGAGGTAAAATGTTCATGTTTTAAAAACTGTTGTCTTGGGGACAGGCAGTTTTCCCCTTATTCATAAACTAATATTCAAATATAAACTCTGGCTTCTAACACTTCACCCTCAGTGTGGGTTCTTTCTCATGGGGCAGGTCTTACATTCCAGCAATAATAATAATAGAAAGAAGATAGTGACTCCCATAAAATGTGTACCAGTAGGGTACCTTGCAGACAGACCACTGGTATAGTTCACAGGCTTCGTAGCTTGATGAGACTGATGATTACTTTATCCCCAGTAGTGTGCAGACTTTCCAGCATCATGAACACTAGCCAGTAGAGATGAAGTTTCCAGGTAAGTACCAGTTAGGTTTCTTGAGTGTGGGGGTCTTCACCAATATGGTCTAAACCCTCAAGACTGTATACGGTAAACAGTTGCTTTGGCAATGGCCTGTAATGTTTGTGGGGGAGTTGATCTATGGATCCTTTTGGCTAACTGATAAAGACATAACCCATTTGTTGTGTGTGAAGGGATTACTTGATACTGGTTTTTTTAGTTCAGTTTTTTTTTTTTTTTTAAGATGAAGATTTGTTTTTTGTTTGTTTGGTCGTGTGTGTGTGTGTGTGTGTGTGTGTGTGTGTGTGTGTGTGTGTGTGTGTGTGTGTGTACCTAAGTGTATATAAGTGCACCATATGTGTGCAGGAGCCTAAGGCAGCCAGAAGAAAGCATTGGATCCCCTGGAACTATAGTTATAGATGGTTGTGAGCTCTCATGTGAGTGCTGGGACTTGAACCCAGATCCTCTGCCAGAGCCATAAGTGGTCTTAACTACTGAGCCATCTTTTGAGCTCTAGGATTTATTCCCAAAAGAAGTAAACTTATTTACACTCTCTGGGCACTGTCAGGATTCACTTTGTCCATATTCCCATTGACGTTTCCCAGGATATATGGCAGAGATTGGCACCAACTGGCTAAAAATGTGATTGCTTGCTCTAATAACAAGGTTAACTAATGATCCTGTGTCATCTCAAGTGGGCTACCACTACAAACTGGGCCTAAGTCTGATCAGACTCCTCAGAACATCTTAACAATGTATGTCCACTTCTCTCCAGTTCAAGCTTGAGTTAACAAACATTTATTTGGGATACATTGTTTAATCAGAGGAATTTAATATGTTTATCATCTTACTAAATTGATCAGTGATCATGCGTATCACCAAATGATTTGGATGAATTTTACCTTTTGGTTTTTGTTGTTTTTTCATTTTAGAAGAAATTGTTAAAACACTGAAGACAAAAGGTCTGCAAGGGACCACAGCACTTTGCAGGCAAGCAGGCCAAGAAATCCTGTCCATCCTCAGGTTCAGCAAGTCCTAGTGTCCTGAGAAAGCCACCAAAGTACGCAAGACCTGCCTGAAGCTGAATGCACTCAGTAGGTTTGAGACTGATGCCATTCCCTGGCCAAGAAATTTTATCAGAAATTTGTCATAAAGAAAAAGGTGGAGTCGGGGCAGTGGTGGTGCACACACCTTTAATCCCAGCACTGGGCGGGGGGGGGGGGGGGGGGGGGGGGGGGGGGGGGGGGGGGACGGGACGGGACACGACAGGCTGATGGACCTGAGTTCAAGGCCAGCCTGGTCTGCAGAGCGAGTTCCAGGACAGCTAGGACTGGTGAACAGAGAAACCCTGTCTCAAAGAAAAAAAAGAAGAAGAGGTGAGGGCTGGATAAATGGCTAAGAGGTTAAGAGCACTGGCTGCTAACACAGAGGTGTAGGGTCCAGTTTTGAGCACCCACATGGTGGCTCACAGCCACCCATAACCTTAGTTCCAAGGGATCCTACCCTTTTCTGACCTCTGGATACCAGACACACAGGTGATACACATAAAGCAACACACCCATACACAGAAAACAACATAAACCTAAAAAACCAAAAAGATGTTAAGCTGGAGCATTTTGTTTTCAGGGACTCAAGTATATGGGTATTTCTGTACGTGTGCAAGTAAATGTGTATACTCTTTATAATTTACATTTTATGTTATATTTATATATGAAATTATGTTTGATAAAGCATTAGCTATATATAAAAGCAAAGTAATATGATCACCCTAAATGTCCATCAGAAAGGACACTGGTTAAAATAAATGCCAGCTATCCATTCCACTGAACATATAGCCTTTGAAACGAGTCTCTGTGTAGACCCTGAACCAGAGGCTCCATGGCAACTCGTTACAACTCGTGCAAAGAAGCTGCAGATGAATTTTATCCCACACATGCTATTTTAAAAATCCAGCTGAGGCATTGTATTGATGTGTGTCCATGACAGAGGCGGAGGTAAAACTGCAGGAATAAAAGAACTTCACTCTTTTGTGGTGGCATGTGTTTTTACACAATGGTAATATTAAACAGTTTACAGTGGATTATCATAAACAACATGATTAAAAACTCAAATGGGGGCGTTGATTCATTTTTTTGAACAAAATAACACCACTCAATGACTGCTACCAGGCATTCATCAGGAAGGTACTTTTTTCTCTATAGTTATTCATAAAGACCCACCAGAGGCCAGTGATGTCATCCAAAAAGTCCAGCCATATACCTCCTATGGAGGTAACCTTAGATGATAATTTGCAGGGATTGTGGCCACGTTCCCTCTCTTATTTCTTTTAGGGGTGGCTAATGGTACATTGCCTACCTATGCTCAGTGAACAACCCTGTACCCCATATGGATATAGGAGCACTGCCTGGACTCAGTGAGTTAAAAAAAATATACACAGGTAAGCTTTTGTTTTGTTTTGTTGTCTGAGACAGGGTTTTCTCTGTTACAGCTTTGGCTGTCCTGAAACTCGATTTGTAGACTACCCTCAAACTCCAGAGATCCGCCTGCCTTTGCCTCCCGAGTGCTGAGATAAAAGGTATGCACCACCCACCACCTGGCCAGATACAATCTTTTAAAGGTGTATGTGTGTGTGAATATGTGCCGCATGTGAGCCAGAAGACAGTGCCAGGTGACCTAGAACTAGAATTACACATGGTTTTTAAACCACCCAGCACAGGCTTTGGAACCAAACTTGGGTCCCCTCGAAGAGAGCAGTGTAGTTGTAACCAACCGTCTTATTAAATAAGAAACACAGAACCAATGCAAAGAAGAAAAAGCCAAGAGGTCAGGAGCTAAGAGCTAAAACCTTACCCTTCCTCCTGCGGTGGTCCTACCTCTCCGAAAGAGAGCTACTTCCTGTGTTAAAGGTCTTTATATAGACTTTCTGTTTTGCCTTCTCATTGGTTGTAAACCCAACCACATGACCGCCTCGTCACTGCCTGTCTGTATAGACTTCAGGTCTTCTATGGTTGGTTTTGAGATTAAAGGCATGTGTATCCAATGCTGGCTGTATCCCCTGAACACACAGAGACTTACCTAGCTCTGCCTACCAAGTGCTGGGATTACAAGTGTACGCCACCACTGCCCGGCTTTCCTATGGCTTGCTAATAGCTCTGGACCCCCAGGCAACTTTATTTATTAACATACAAATAACATTTTAATACAAATAAAATATCACCATAGAGCAGTAAGTGCTTTTAGTCAGTAAGCCACCTCTCCAGCCCTGTATATGTAACTCAAAAAGTAGGGCATGAAGTTGAGGAGATATGAGGGTGGGTGAGGGGTGATTATGATCAATATACATTATATACATGTATGAAATTTTCAAATAAAAATGATAATTCCCAGTTCATGATAGGGTAACTAGGGTCAGGATAACTTGGTGGTCAATATTCTCTATTCATATCGGCCAAGATAAAGACAGTGTCAGGCCAGGGGCTGTCACTTAAAGCAAAAGCAGCTGTTTTACTAGCAGGGTTTTACTCCAGAATCCAGAAGGCCTGCAACTGCAGAGGCCCTGGATGGATTCCCCTGTCTTCCCATTACAAGCTCAGACACCATGGGTTTCTGGACCACATGGCCAGAGTGCCAGAGCAGCTCACACGCCAGCCTGGACTTGGAAGAGTGGGAAGGGAGCAGGCTGTAGGTGAGACCTCAGGTACTCAGGAACACTTGTTTCCAACCTGTGGTCTTGCTGCCAATGTGCCACATTTGGGGAGTGGACAGGTAGGTGAAAACCTGTTGGCTTTAGCAAGCTGCACTAATGGCAACTCCAAAGGGGAAAGTCCACCACACTGAACTGTCCAAGAACGTACAGGATGGCTGATTTGTACCCTGCCTGCAGCCTACGTCAGCTAGTTTCACTGCTGGCAGGCACAAGAGCAGCACACATTATTACAGCACAGCAGTTAGTATGAACACGGGTGTGTCTTCATCAGTTACACCACATGTATGCTGTGTTCAAGGGAGAACTCTGAGAAGGCCCTGGCCTGCCCTGCCTTAGTGTACATGAGGTTTACCAGACTGCAATGGAGAGAAACGGTATCCATGCCTCCAGCTGATGCTGAGAAGAGATGAAAATGGAATAGTGTAGTGACACATGAAAATGCCATAGTTAAGCCCATTACTTCATAGGCCAATTCAGTGAAACTAAGTTGTTTCCTACCCCCCAAGTACCCTATAGAATCTGGGTAATCAAAACCACAAATTACAGGATGCCTTGGTGTTACTGAAAGGAGTCCTTATTCTTTCTTTTTTTTTTTTAATTTAATTTTATTTTACAATATAATTTAATTCTACATATCAGCCATGGATTCCCTTGTTCTCCCCCTTCCTCCCCCCCCCCTCCCCTTTCCCCCAGCCCACCCCCCATTTCCCATCTCCAGGGCAAAGACAACCCTCCACCCCCCCCACCCCCCCACCCCCCCCGGAGGATTGAGATCAACCTGGTAGACTTCCAAGTCCAGGCTGCGTGTGAGCTGCTCTGGCACTCTGGCCATGTGGTCCAGCAAACCCATGGTGTCTGAGGTTTGTAATGGCAGACAGGGAATCCATCCAGGGCCTCTGCAGTTGCAGGCCTTCTGGATTCTGGAGTAAAACCCTCCTCCCAGGCTGAGCAAGGTTGGATAAAACACAGGGACAAATAGCCAAAGAATGGAAACACATGAACTATGAACCAATGGCTGAGGGGCCCCCAACTGGATCAGGCCCTCTGGATAAGTGAGACAGTTGATTGGCTTGATCTGTTTGGGAGGCATCCAGGCAGTGAGACCGGGTCCTGTGCTCAGTGCATGAGTTGGCTGTTTGAAACCAGGAGTCCTTATTCTTAAAGTTCACAGTAAGTCAAAGATACCAGAGACAGGTGAACACCCTGAATAAGACCTTTTATAAGGAATATCTGCAAAATGGAAAGACAAATCTATACAGACACTGGAGGATTCCATCACAGATACATAACATTTCTACTACCTCTAATTTGGAGCAGAAAAAGAGTTGGGTTGTAAGACCTATAAAGTAAAAATTGGTGAGGACAGGAGAGCTTTAGAATGTTGTGATGCCTACTGTCAACCTGGCTGTATCTGGAGTTTAACTAAAACCCAAGTGATGAGCACATCTGTGAGGGATTTTAATTAAATCATTTGAGGTAGGAAGACCCACTTTAAATCTGGATCTTTTGAGGTGGGAAGATCCACCTTTAATCTGGGCCACAACTCCTGCTGGCAGCCTGTAAAAGGACATGGAAGAAGGAAGTTTTTGCTCTTTGCCTGCTTGTTCTTGCTGGCAAGTCCATTCCTTCACTAGCATTTAGAGCCTACTTTTGGCTTCTGGGATGTGCTGAAGACCAGCTGAGACATCCAGCCTCATGGACTGAACAACTATTGGACCTTCCGCTGGTAGACAGCCATTGTTGGACCACAATCTGTATGCCATTCTAATATATACATTCATTCTGTAAGTTCTGTTCCTCTAGAGAACCCTAATAAAACCGTTTAAGACATAAAATATGGCTGAATCAAAATGGAAAAGAATGATCAATTTAATTAAATGGAAAAACTGAAATTAAAGTCACATACTGTGGGGATGTTTTCTTTGTGCACCCCAATAAAGCTTACCTGAGGATCAGAGGAAAAAAGTCACTATATTAAACATAGAAGTCAGGCAACGGTAGCACACACCTTTAATCCTATCACTCTGGAGGCAAAGATCCATGTGGATCTCTTGAGTTCAAGGCCACACTGGGAACAAAGCCAGGCATGGTAGCACATGGGTTAACCCAGCACTAACCATAGAGGTCTGGAGGTTTGTACAGACAGACAGGAAGTGCTGTAGCTGTGTGGAGAGAGGAAGTGAGCTGGCAGAACAGAAAGGCATATAGGCATGGGTATACAGGAAGTAGGTCTCTTTGGAGACAGGTGTCCGTGAGGTAAGGTTGGCTGTGGCTTGTCCTGTTCCTCCAATCTCTCAGTTTTAACTCCAGTATCTGGCTCCAGGTTCTTTGTTTATGACTTTAGCAATTCATCTTACAACATACCGTGGTTTTTTTTTTTAATTTTAGAACATTGCTGTCTTCAATTTCATACACACATATAATGTATGGTGATTACACAACACACCCATGTTGAGGACAAGCTATATGCTTAACTAGATAGTAAAGCATTATGTGACTATATATTTAA